AAGCTTCCTGCGGGGCGCCTCGACCTCGCCACCACTTCGGGCCCAACCTGCTCCCCTCTCCCCTCCCCCCACACACTCCACAGTGGCCCCGCGTCCCCCACCGACCCGTCCCACGCCCCGAACTTACTCAAAGACGTGCTCCGAAGTCCAGATCTTCATGGTGCCGCAGCCTGAGCGGTGTCTGGGCAGTGCAATGAGGCAAAGGGCTAAAGCTCTGTGATATTCTGATGAAGAATCTTTTGTTATTTATTAGGCATTTGGTCCAGCGGTGTAATCAATATCTGCTAGCATCAATTTCCTTTAGGGATCTTAGTTATAAATTATGATACATATTTGCTTTAATATCCAAATTGACAGTTTTGTCTCAAAAAAAAAAAAAAGAAATGCTAGGTTACACTATAATTACCCCGTCTACCTTTTCAGTGTTTTGAAAGAGGATTGTTGGGACTGAGCTACTATGTGTCCCTCACTCCCCTTATATCTTAGTATGGCCCCCAGGACAGAGAGGATCCCCTTCTGCTCCCTCCCATAACATTTCCTTTTTCTTCTGGGGATTTTGCCTATGGCCTTAAACACACATGATGGTGAGATATAATTTAGTCACGATAGGGGAAGCTTATAGGAACTGTGCATTTATTCAACAGTTTTTGATAGACTCACCTTTCCCTGGAATGTGATTACTAAACCCACCCATCCCTGGAATGGCGATGACTTACTGTAAATGTGATATGGCCCCAACCCAGAAGGAACACCTTGTATGGACATATACATTGACTAACCAACCAGCTCTCTTCAAGTCCCCCAAGCCCTCGTGCCTTCCTCATTCTCCTTAAAACAAGTTCTAACCGCTGCATGGACTGCTGCTCTCCCTTTGCGAGACAGCCCGGCAGGTCTTTCCTCAAATAAAGCCTGTGTCACCTGGTTTTTGGCCTCTGACTGATCTTTCAGTTTTATTCGGAGCTTACAACATGCAAGGCACTGTATTAAATGCTGAATTTTATCAGTGAACAAAACATAGAATTTCTGTCGTCAAGGAGATAATAAATGAGTGAATGAATGAATGAATGAATGAATGAATTCTGTGCAAACAAGGACCAATGGCCTGCTGGGGCAGTATTCACTTTTTGCTAAAGGACACAGAAGAGTCCTGGAGTCTTTCAGAAAGACTTCAAAACTCAGCTATCATGTCATAGACTCATGAAGAGCGCTGTTTGGGGTCAGGGAGATGGCAGAACAGTGCTTGGCTCTGAAGTCACCCTTTCCATCAGCCCTCAAGACTCAGCGCCCCGCCCACCATCACCTGGCATCGCCAGGCCTGTTGACAGCTGCCATCAGCGGGTGGTGTGGACAGGCCTGTCGCCTTGACTTGAGCAAATGTTCTTGGCGCCATTAGACGATTCCTCCCACCGCCGTCTCGGCCATGCTATTGGGGCTCCAGACGCATCCAGGCAGCCTACCAGTCACCTCTGCTTCCACCTGCCCTCCCAGGGGTTATGACCTTGGAGGGAAAGAAGACAAATAGACAAGGAGAAACTAACGTCAAACAATATGGTTAATGTCTGCATGAAGGGTTCAGTTAGGAGGCATGGGTGCTCCGTGGAACAGGACGGAGGGCCCGGGTTCATAGGGCCCTTGCGCAGAAGTCACCCTACAGAGAGGCCTTCCTTCTCACCTTCCTCAGCAGATCCCCAGCCCGGATCCTCCATCAAACCAGCCCTGGGTCCTCCCTCCATCACAGCCACCCTGGGTCCTCCCTCCATCACAACCCCCCTGGGTCCTCCATCACAACCACCCTGGGTCCTCCATCACAACCCCCCTGGGTCCTCCATCACAACCACCCTGGGTCCTCCATCACAACCCCCCTGGGTCCTCCATCACAACCACCCTGGGTCCTCCATCACAACCCCCCTGGGTCCTCCATCACAACCACCCTGGGTCCTCCATCACAACCCCCCTGGGTCCTCCATCACAACCACCCTGGGTCCTCCATCACAACCCCCCTGGGTCCTCCATCACAACCACCCTGGGTCCTCCATCACAACCCCCCTGGGTCCTCCATCACAACCACCCTGGGTCCTCCATCACAACCCCCCTGGGTCCTCCATCACAACCACCCTGGGTCCTCCATCACAACCCCCCTGGGTCCTCCATCACAACCACCCTGGGTCCTCCATCACAACCCCCCTGGGTCCTCCATCACAACCACCCTGGGTCCTCCATCACAACCCCCCTGGGTCCTCCATCACAACCACCCTGGGTCCTCCATCACAACCCCCCTGGGTCCTCCATCACAACCACCCTGGGTCCTCCATCACAACCCCCCTGGGTCCTCCATCACAACCACCCTGGGTCCTCCATCACAACCCCCCTGGGTCCTCCATCACAACCACCCTGGGTCCTCCATCACAACCCCCCTGGGTCCTCCATCACAACCACCCTGGGTCCTCCATCACAACCCCCCTGGGTCCTCCATCACAACCACCCTGGGTCCTCCATCACAACCCCCCTGGGTCCTCCATCACAACCACCCTGGGTCCTCCATCACAACCCCCCTGGGTCCTCCATCACAACCACCCTGGGTCCTCCATCACAACCCCCCTGGGTCCTCCATCACAACCACCCTGGGTCCTCCATCACAACCCCCCTGGGTCCTCCATCACAACCACCCTGGGTCCTCCATCACAACCCCCCTGGGTCCTCCATCACAACCACCCTGGGTCCTCCATCACAACCCCCCTGGGTCCTCCATCACAACCACCCTGGGTCCTCCATCACAACCCCCCTGGGTCCTCCATCACAACCACCCTGGGTCCTCCATCACAACCCCCCTGGGTCCTCCATCACAACCACCCTGGGTCCTCCATCACAACCCCCCTGGGTCCTCCATCACAACCACCCTGGGTCCTCCATCACAACCCCCCTGGGTCCTCCATCACAACCACCCTGGGTCCTCCATCACAACCCCCCTGGGTCCTCCATCACAACCACCCTGGGTCCTCCATCACAACCCCCCTGGGTCCTCCATCACAACCACCCTGGGTCCTCCATCACAACCCCCCTGGGTCCTCCATCACAACCACCCTGGGTCCTCCATCACAACCCCCCTGGGTCCTCCATCACAACCACCCTGGGTCCTCCATCACAACCCCCCTGGGTCCTCCATCACAACCACCCTGGGTCCTCCATCACAACCCCCCTGGGTCCTCCATCACAACCACCCTGGGTCCTCCATCACAACCCCCCTGGGTCCTCCATCACAACCACCCTGGGTCCTCCATCACAACCCCCCTGGGTCCTCCATCACAACCACCCTGGGTCCTCCATCACAACCCCCCTGGGTCCTCCATCACAACCACCCTGGGTCCTCCATCACAACCCCCCTGGGTCCTCCATCACAACCACCCTGGGTCCTCCATCACAACCCCCCTGGGTCCTCCATCACAACCACCCTGGGTCCTCCATCACAACCCCCCTGGGTCCTCCATCACAACCACCCTGGGTCCTCCATCACAACCCCCCTGGGTCCTCCATCACAACCACCCTGGGTCCTCCATCACAACCCCCCTGGGTCCTCCATCACAACCACCCTGGGTCCTCCATCACAACCAGCCTGGGTCCTCCCTCCATCACAACCAGCCTGGGTCCTTCCTCCATCACAACCAGCCTGGGACCTCCATCACAACCACCCTGGGTCCTCCATCACAACCACCCTGGGTCCTCCCTCCATCACAACCAGCCCTGGG